TCAAGCTAATACCTAGCTCGAAGTCCGGCTATAATACTATATATATTATAATTAACTAATTAAGTAAATAAGCTATCTCTATATTTTATTATAAGATAATTATAATAAAGAATATAATAAAGATATATTTCTAAACTATTTACTATTACTATAGCTTTTTAGTCTCTATTATTTCTAATTATAGTCTGTAATTTATACTAGTATTCTGGATATAAAACTAAAGCTATTAATAATAAATTACTTATAAACTAATAAATAAATAAAAATTATAAACTAATATATTAATTAATAATTATATATATATATATTATATTACTAAGATAACTAGAATAAGGACTTACTAATAATTAATTATATTTAATTTACTTTCTTATATAACTCTATTAATATATCTCTATATAAACTTCTTAATAATAGGATTCTATAAACTTTCTTTAACTAGTTAACTCTAATAACTATATTTTAAAATAAGCTAAGTAAAATAAAAACTTAATAAATTACTAAATAAATAAAGAATACTATAAAGAGAAATAAGAAAAACATAAAATAGATATAAAAGAGAATAAAGAAATATACTAATACTAAATATTACTTTATAGATTTTAAAGTAAGAAATAAGATATATATATATTAATAAAGAAATAGAAGATATAATACTCTAGCTATAAGCTAGACTACTTAATAGCCAGGCCTTACCCGATTCTATATTAAGTTAGTAACTTCTATAAAATTAAACTACCTAAAAGTATTAAAATTTATAATATATTTTCTTCTAACTATTTATATAAGGCTACTAATAATCTATTACCTGGCCAGAAAAACGAACTATTTCTACTAATTCAAGTAATAATAAACCAAGAATATAAAATATAGGATATTCTAGTATTAAAGGCAGAGCAGAAAAAGTTCCTATATAGAATTAGTTAGGTTAGATATAATAAAGACTTTAACTAGTATCTGGCCTCTAATCTGAAATACTTTCCCTATAAGCTATAAGACTACTACTTGACTAATTAATAATAGCCAGGTCTATTAAAGAAGCTAGTTAACTAGATATAAGCCTAGGAAAATAGAATAGAGAACTATAATAATTTAGATAATAATTCTATAATATTTATTTACTTAAGAATAAGCTTTTTTTAAGAGAGGAAGTAATATTATAATTTTATACTTTATTTAGTCTAGTATCTAGTATTTGATATCTGAGCCTAGTATCTGGGTATCTAATATCTGGAGTCATATAATAGTTATATATAATAAAGCTAAAAGAAGTTATATTCTGGGAAATTTAGTATACTAAACCCTATTAGGCCGAGATATAAGCAAAGAACTATAAATACTTAAGAAACCTTAGCTTAAGACTTTCTTTTCTCCTTAGCTTAGTTTTTTTAATAAATAGTTCTCTTATAAGTACCTTATTTATAGGCTTTCTTTATAGGTCTATAATAATAATAATTTAATTTCTAGATTACTATTAATTTATAATAGAAATAGCTTTAATTATAATAGTAATTTAATTAGTAAGCTAGAAGTATATTATTATTATTATTAGTAATTAGAGATATATAAAGATAAAGAATAAATTAGAGTGATTTTAGTTACTTATAATATAATAATAAGTAATTTTTAGTAGTAATTATAATATAATCGGGTATTAATAATTATATATAATAGCTAGCTATTTCTTTTCTTTATTACTAGTTATATCTACTACTTAACCTCTAAATATTAGTATATATAATAAAATATATATTATAGTTATATATAAGTAGCCGATTTTATACTAAAAATTAATATATATTAGATTATGAATATATAGTAATATTATATTACTAAATCTCTAAATAATAGTATATTTCTATATTTAATAACTTCTATAAATAGTATATCGGGCTAATACAAATTCGGCCTCAAATACTACTAAAATTACTATAGCTTAAGTCAAGATATTATATAAATAATAAGAACTATAGGAGTACTATTAAAGCTCCAAAACACGCTTTACTACCTTCTTATTAATCTGAAACCTTATATTTAATCTATTTGTCCCGAGACAGTTCGCTATAATACCTATAGAGCTTCTTAGTAAGTAGTTCCTTAGGGGGCAGTTCCCTTGGAATAGCTCTCTAGGAATAGCTCCCTTGGGATAGCTTACTATTGTCACGAAACCGGGCTCTGGGCTTGGAAAGCAGGTAGAGTGGCTCTTAATCCGAGGATTCTAAACTAAGGAGGGAAGCTCGTATATACAGGAGCTTTGGTGTTCTAAATACTAACCAGCCGCATGCGTCATCGCGGTCACGTGACGCTAAATTTCCTAGTGAAGCGGCAGAGCGTAATAACTATAATATATAAAGAGCTTTTTGGAGGGCTATTCTTAAGAGAAAGGGAGAGGGGGGGAATAGCTCAATATAATATATAAAAGGCTCCCTTGGGATAGCTTACTATAATATATAAAGAGCTCCCTGGAGGGCAGCTCTTGGGAGGGGAGGGGTAGGAGGAGGGAGGGGAGGAGTAGCTTCTTGCAGGGCAGCTCACTATCCCTTCGTCTGTCGCAAACTGTCTAGCGCTAGCAAGGGTGCTTCCCGCACTACAGGGGGGGGCTCGCTTGGCTCCCGTAGCATAATAATTATATACCTTTGCATATAAATTTATTAGTAATCTATATCGCTAGAATGAAATCGCAGCCAGTACGTCCCCTAAAAATACGCGTATACTATAGACGATTCTATAGATAATTCCAGTAACGATTCCAGCCCACCTTCCAGCCTACCTATAGTGCAAAAATCGAAAGCTCTTGAGGATATACTCCTTAAATTAGGCCCACTTACTAGCGTTTTATATAAACCTTTTAAATGCGTGCCCTAGTAAATAGTAAGAGTACTCCTACCTGCTTCCCTCCCTCTATAGCCATACCCATTCGATTACTTTAGCCTATTCTTTACCCGCGAGCTTTTCCAAACGATTACTATAAATACTAATTAATATACAAGTATATAAAGACTATATATACCGGAGGAGCGGGGGCGAGAATGGATAGATCTGCTTATAGAAGAACTCTATATATCTCTGGGCGTTATTATATATATGAGAGTCTACTATAAGCCTTGTATAGAGATATATTAGAACCCAGACTTTAATAAAGGTTCTTTATACTCAATTATATACCATATCTCACTTACTCGGTTTGGACAAATCAAGTGCTACTATTATATTTTATGCTCTGAGAATAATAAACGGAATAAATACCACTTACCTTCTAATAAGATCTGGTAGTATAAGCTAGAACTGCTAGCTTTAAAGATTTAAGCCTTCTCTTAGAGATATTACTTGCCCTCTTCTGAAGTAAGTATTAATAAGATTATAGTATGCTTTTTTAGCCGGTATATTTCTCTTTCTTCCTCTCTTATCTCGCTATCCTACTAATTATTAAAGATCCTTATATGCCTATAAGATACCAAAGAAACTAATTAAATAAGGGTATAAGATCTATGGAATTACGGATTACAGATATATATATAATTGGATATAGAGCTCAAGGGAGAAGGGTTTACAAGATGTATTTAACTTCCCAAATCTTACGAAAATCGCCTGTCTCATATAAAGCCTTATACTTTTACTTTTATAGTAATATATTACTATATATATAGACAATTACTTTACCTCGATTTCCTTATTTACAGAGCTACAAGCTTGTAAATTCGGTGTAGTAGGTACTATATGCCCGTATAAGCAGTTCCCTTCAGAATTATTAATAATTAAGAAGTGATTTGCGAAAAAGCTAGAATAGAATACTCTCCTTGCAGTAGTAGTTAATAATATACTTTACTTAGCTTGGCAAGATAATAATATTATCTTGGGATTAAGTAATATCTATATGGTAGATAAAGCGGAGGACTTTAGAGAGAAGAAGAGGAAACGTCCGGCAAAAATATTAATAAATGGACGACTGGTTCGTGGTGTATTTAGAGACTTATTAGTAAAGGAGCTTCCGATTTCTTGCTTTATTAATGATTATAATTAGTATATGGGAGGTGTAGATCTTGCGAATTAGTTCAGGGAAGCATACGAAACCTATAAGCCTACGTTCCGGAATTAGTGGCCCTTGTTTTACTGGTTAATTAATTTAGCTTATATAAACAGTTACTGGCTATATTAATTATATACGGTAGACGAACGCCCTTTTATGCACTTGTAATTCCGAATCGAGCTTTATTATAAGCTCTTAGGGTTTTCAGAGAAAGCAAAGCTATATAGCTTGCGGGTGGGGCTAGGGGGTAAAAGGGTATTTAATCCTGAAGCGCCGTACTTATACTACTGGGAACAGCGTCCTAGGGGCACGTGCGCATAGTGTTTATATAAACAAAGGTGCCAGAAGGTCCTTGGGAAAGCTATAGAAGGGAGGGCAAAGCGTTCAACTGGAGGCTGTGTGTTCTGTAATGTACACCTATATAAGGTGGGGGAGTGCTGGCTGCGATTTCATTCTAGCGATGTAGATTACTAATAAATTTATATGCAAAGGTACATAATTATTATGCTACGGGAGCCAAGCGAGCCCCCCCCTGTAGTGCGGGAAGCACCCTTGCTAGCGCTGGACAGTTTGCGACAGACGAAGGGATAATATATAAAGAGTACCCTATTAATAGTAAGTACGAGTCTAAGTATAATTTCAGTGTAATTCTATACCTAATTTTAAGTAGCATGCAATTCGTAGTTTTGATTTCGCGGTTTTCGCGGTTTTAATGGTTTGAAGGTTTGCAGTTTTGCAGTTTGGCCCTTCACCGCCTAAAATCCTGCCCTAGTAGAGGACTTGATTTCTAAGCAACTACGTTTGGCAAGGTTCCTTAAATAATCGTCCAGGCCTAGCGCATCGCTTAGGGCCACGCTAACCCCCCACTGCGTGGGGAGGTGTCTGATTCCGATCAGAACCAATAAGATTGCCTGAGCTGACACCGTGCAGGCAACTACAACAGCATGCCGATTGTGATCAGAAATCTGCACCTCTACAATATCGCAACTGTGCAGCCAAGTACACCGGGAACGGAGCTGTGGCATGCAGATAGACACAGAAGCAAGTAATTGCTGTTGGCATTACGAGTACTTGCATCTTCGCGCGTCGTTGAGAGGGGGCCTCTGACATGAGTCTCCAAGTTCATCTGGCTCAACCCGGCCTGCGGGCAGCCGTAGGAGTCAGCTCCCATCACAAATTCCAGTTTCCTTCATTTCCGAGTTTCTTCGCGCTAGGTGATTCCTTCTCTGCCGGAATCGGAGCAAGCTGTGGATGGATCAAGGATGAATTTGATGCAAAGGGGACCTGCCTCAAATGTAATGGCAGCTATCCGTATCAGATCATTGAAGTGGCCAACACCTCCAACGCATTCTCGGATAACATGGAGGTCTATCATCTTGGGTGCACTGGCGCAGCCATGAACGATGTTATCAATACTGGATGGAACAACCGTACATCTCAGATCGATTTGATGAAACCCAAAGCTGGAAAAGGAGGATGGGGCACGTTGTCCATCGGCGGCAACGACGTTGGGTTTGCCAATATTGTTGCAAACTGTATTATGTTCGATAGGCCATCCTGCGACGCGGACATGAATTTCACAGAGACCCTCATCTCCGATCCAAGTCTCGTCGGCCAGTTCACTACGACATATTGGAAGGTCTTGGACACTGCTCTTCAACACGACTTTAGACTCATCGTCACCAGCTACGCCCAATTCTTCAACGCCGAGACAGCTATTTGTGATAATCGGTATATCTTCTACGGGAGATATCTCACTCGAGAGTTTCGGACTCGCGTCAATAAAATGGTAGCAGATTTGAACCTCCTCATCCAGATCGCAGTATCCATCGTGGAGCTGCAACTGGTGTTCGGAGGCTCGCAGAAGGGGATATTCTTTGAAGACTGGGATTCCCTATTCACAGGCCATAGGTTCTGCGAGGAACCTCCTCTAGACTGGCCAGACGCATGGTTCTTCACTATAAACGGCGTGGACATCCTGCCCAACAACACCAACCACACCAATGCCGTCCCTCAATGGACAGGTCCACCTTGGGGAGAGACCCCAGTCAACCTCACTTCGTTTGCCTCGAGCTGCAATGCGGAGAATCCGGGCAATCTTACCTCACAAATGCTATGTACCTGGGCGCGGAATCTGGGGGAAGGGAGAGAACCAGTTGGGAATTTTTCGACCGTTATTTATCCTTGGTGGATAACGAAAACACTGCATCCGAAGTCTGTAGCGCACTGGGCACTTGCGAAGGTAATCTATCGGAAATGGATAAACGGTGACTATTTCTAAAGTCTGACTGGAGGAACGATGGATGATGAGGAAGAGTGGACTGTAACTAGTTCCTTGAGTAAACTTCTCAAGTCATTACTCCTATATTGAAAGACAAACCTTAACCGCAAGTCAATGATGATCAGTCACTGCAAGGGTGAGCAGGAACGCTGCTAGCTGCGCAGACTTCGAGGCGAGGGTGAGTAGCCCCTGAGCAGAACCACACCACGCGACAAGGGGTTCCGACCAACTCTTCTAGCCCCCCAACGAGTGGCTCTCCATCTTCCGGCATAGATATCAAAGAATGTGCCGTTGTTGGTCAGGAACTATGCGATCACTGGAAGAGCCCTCGGGTGCCTCAACAACCTGGAATTCAGCCAGCCGAAGAGTGGAGAATCCTTGCCCATGGGACTGTTGTACCGAGGACCTGTGTCTCTTTTAACCTTAAATTCGACAATCACAAGCGATATGAGACTATTTCCTATTCTTGGCCAAGGTTTCCTATTGAGGCGACTCCACCAAAATCGCGGATAAAGCTAGATATTCCTCGGACCGAATTGTGACGGCAGGAACAAAGCAATGGAACGATGCTCAAAGATCTATGATTCCAATGTCCTACAGAATCTAAAGCTAAGGAGAGAAGGAGTGAGTGAGGTGTGGCAGTGGATAAGTAGGTATGGCCAAGACCACTGAAACGCCGAGCTTTGGAAGCGAGCTTGGTTTGAACCATAGCTTGGAACCTTAGCTGAAACCAACCCCTTTGGCTGAAACCAACCATGTGACACCAGCCGTCACACGAATGCTAGTCCAGGCTTGGCAGTATTCCACATGGTATTAGTTATGTAAGATTAGTTAGCAATACATAAACTAGTACTAGATCGGTTCTGGAATAATTCCTAAGCGAGTCTAGGCTAAGTACCTTATATCGTAAATTTATATAAGAGGTATATAGAGAAAAGAATAGTAAGGGCAAGCAAAGAGTAAGAAATAAAATATAAAAATTATATCTTTTAAACGTATTATAATATATATAAGCTTTTATTAAGTAATAAATAATTAATAATATTTTAATTAATTAAAATAAAAGGAATTAATACTTATTTTATTAAATATATATAAATATTTAATATATATATTAAAACTTACTTATATAAGCTTATTATACTAATATATAATTATTTTTTAAGACTAATATAAGAATTAAAAGAGCTTTATACTTTAATACTCTTAATAATTAATATATTAACTTAAATATATCATTCTTATATAAGTATATTATATGACTTTTTAATATATATTCGTTTATAAATATTATTATGAATTATATATTATTATAGGATTTAGATCTTAAGGAAATCGGCAGAGCATATGCTATGTATAGTATTGCGCTTGTGACGGCGCCGGCTAGGGTTATAAGGGGAGTGGCTGTCACATGACTGGTTTCACCTAACCAGCCGGCGTTTCAGTGGTTTTAGCTAGTATTCCCCTCCTTTTATCCTCTCTCTCTCCCTCTCTCCCTCCCCCTTCTCTTTAGCTTAGTATTCTTAATACATGGGATTCTCGGAACTTTGAGCCTTTGACCATTGCCTTGATACCGCCGTCACAGCGCTTTTACAGAGTCTTCATGACGTGAAAAGTGCGTTATAGCCAGATTGAAACACTACTACGAAGTATTTGACTCAAACTTGGCCCTGTGATCCGGAGAGACACGGATTGACAGCCTGCACAACAAGGAGGTGTTGAGTCTTCGCAGGGGTAAGGGTACTAATTCCTCGCTACGATCCATTCCATGTCGATCCATTCCAATCCAATCCGATCCTTGGAATAAAGTGGATCAGTACAGGCATTTCCCGGATCACTGCTAAGCGCGCCAGTCGTCTTCATGTTTGCCGACTGGCTCGATTTTAATTACATAGCTTCCCCCTCCCAAAGAGTTGCCTCACGCCACTATATATTTCTTCCACCCAGGGGGTCTGCAGTCATGGATATATATATGAGGTCCTCTGGGCACTGGGATTCCCCATCTTTCTTGTGGGAATGTAATCAGGCACTTGGATAAAGTGCAGGGAGGAATTTCCTATAGAAAGGAAACGGATTTCTTGACGCTCGAACGTCAAGTAGTGCTCCGAACGCATGTGAGAGCTGCATATACCGTTTCTTGACATCTGACCTTCAGCTGATGGTTCACAGCCCCACCCAATTTTCAGTCATGGCTTCTCTATTTCCCTTCAAGTTTTTCACCATCCTCGCGTTGACATCGGCACTGCTTCTCTCCCCGTCTTTAGCCCAAACAACATGTGCTACTGTTTCCCCGAAATATGCTCCAGTTGTCGCAGCCGGCTACAACGCGAAGGTTCTCATGAACGGGTTAAAGACTCCACGAGGAATGCTCTTCGATTCCCAAGGCAATTTACTCATTGTTGAGCAAGGAGGCGCTGGAGTCAGACTTGTGAAGTTGACAGATGGAGACGGAACCAACGTTTGTGTTGCAAGCAGTAAACAGTTGATTGCAGATTCATCAGTATGTGAATTTCATAAGTTTTGCGAAGCCTGGAAGAGACCAGTTAAAGCAAAGGAATTGGTGGATCAGAGATTCATGGTCACCGATCGCTCTCGTCTTTGGTTGAAAACTATTGCCGAGGAGGAAGATCTTCGTTGCATTTTACAAGAATTCCTATTTTGAGCATTGGTTTTCTCAATGGCTCCCGAGCAAATTTGATCTCGCAGCTGATTTTTCAATAGCTCAATCATGGTATCCAACTTACGGGCGATGGTAAAACTCTGTTTGTTTCTAGCGAGACGATAGTATATTCATATACTTACGACGCAACCGCAGGCACCGTTGGGGCCAAAAGGACGGCAAATTATAAAAAGGACCCCCCCCTTCTACTAAAAAGGACCCCCCTAAAATTTTAAAAAGGACCCCCCCCTAGAATTATATATAGAGCTTTGAGAAGTAATTATTAGACTTAGATTTAATAGTTTCATAAGACGAGTATACAAAAATATTAGAAGGAAGTAGTATTTTTCATGATCTTTGAGAGAGATAGCACGTGATAAGCCCCCCTTTTTGCCTAAGAGCTATTATAAGCTCTAAGCTTAATGAAGTTAATACTAGTTAGCTAATGTCGTAATCCGAATCGAGAATCTGGGGTAGGTTAATAAGGCGGAATAGGGAGTTTTTTGTAAAGTCCCTTGAAGTCACGGGATCTGGCTTGGTTATGAGCCCCCTAGAGCCCAGGATTATTCCTACGCTAAAAGTAAGGACCCTAGCTAAGAGGTTAAGGGACCTAGTAGAAACCAAAGCAGATACTACTAAATATAAGGCTCTTATTATAGTACTATTACCGTGTGATCTCTGGATTTAGTCTAGTACGATCATTTCGCTTAGTCAGTTCTCACGCTTCACTTGAGTTCTTTTCTAGCTAGCTTTAATTAACTCTATTTATGAGAAATGCAACTCCCTACTTTGCGATCTTTGCGTGCATTAACTCTTTTTTTGGTGGTTTTGGCTATCTAGGGGGGGGGGGTCCTTTTTAGTAGAAGGGGGGGGTCCTTTTTATAATTTGCCCAAAAGGACAGTAATGTAAGTTAATTCGGCGGTATAATCCCTTGATGATTGTAGATAACAATAAGAGAATACTAACCGTCCTTGATTCTCAAGAACCGGCTTGAGTCCCTCGGGTCATGCGACTCGCACTCTTCTTATCTCAAAGCAGAACCCTGACCAGATACTCGTCCAAGTCGGTTCGAACGCCAATATAGATTCTGCGACCACAGAAGCCAGCTCAGGTCGTAGTCAGGCCAGGATCTTCAGTATCAACGCGCTCACCGCTGGAACATCTTCAGTCGCTTATTCGACAGGAACACTGTTCGCATGGGGACTGAGGAACAGCATAGGTTGGGCTGAGGAACCCACCACAGGTGGCATTGAAAGCTATAATCCGAACAACTTAGCGGAATAGAGCAACTAACAGCATACGCAGTGGTCCAACGAAAACTCCCTCGACGATACGAAGCGTAATGGGGTAGATATTCACATGAACAACCCAGGGGAAGAGCTGAATTATCACGGCGTACTCAACGACACCAAATCCCCACAGTTCGGTGCCAACTATGGCTACCCGCTCTGCATCGCCGCACGCGATCCCACCATCCTACCTGCCAATACGGGAATTCAAATTGGTACCCAATTCGTATATGGCACGGTTGGTGGAACAAATACAGATGATTCATGCGCTCCTAAGCAGGCACCTAGACTAACTTTTCCGGCTCATACCGCACCAATTGACCTTAAATTCACTGCCAACGGAAGTGCCTTGTACGTTACGTTCCATGGCAGCTGGTGAGTTCTCTACCCAACCAATAAATGTGTGCTCCAGCAGAAGAATACTAACCCACACGGCAAGGGATCGCCAACCTCCTGATGGATATCGTCTAAGCCGTGTTGACTTCAAGAATGGTCAGCCCCTCCAGCCAGCCAATAGCACAAATCCGGCGATCAATATCTTGACAAATGCGGATAATACGAAGTGTCCAAATGGCTGCTTTCGACCTTCGGGACTTGCTTGGGACTCCAAGAATCGACTTTATATGGCGAGTGATTCGACGGGGGAGGTTTTTGTTATTAGTGTGATGTTTTAATTAGCGTAAATGTAAGATATCGGCTGGGGCAATTGTTTCATATAGTCTGAGCTAAGTTGTCTTTAGCAGACCCTATTTATATCAAGAGTAAAGTTGGTTTTTATTGAAATATGGATCTTAAAATATTTCTTTATAAGGTGAGCTGGGCAATAAATACCAACCTCGGAAAGCTTCAAGAAGTTTATGCGATCACTTCTATTTACAATAAAATAGAGGCGAAAAGTGTTAACTCAACTTAAATACGTATGGTATCATCGTCGAACGCAACGTTCTGTCAGTAAGCAGTGGTTAATATTTTGAAGCGTTTAGGGATGTATTATAGCGGTAGGCGAAACTAGCTTTAAAATCGATTTTTTAGCGAGAACACGAAAAGTGCTTTTAGGGCAAAATCGCAATTCTATGACTCTTTAACCACAATACCAAATATTATTTAAATTGTAAGAGCTCTTGAAACATTAAAGTTTAATATATTGCAATTAATTCGAGCCTAGTAGCTTTACTTTTAAATAAGTAATAATATTTAAGAAAAGGCGAAAAGGCAATTTTCTAGCCTTATATTTCTCGATTTTTTCTCGATTTTTTCTCGATTTTTTCTTCTTTATTTTTAAAATCGCCTTTTCTATAATAACTTTTAATTACTTATTTAAAATAAGAGCCTTATAACTCAAATTAATTATATTATATCTAACTTTAATATTTAAGAGCTCTTATTTTTTAAATAATTTTTAAAAATATAATTAATAAGTTTATTAAAACTCTTATAAAAAACTTATAATAAAATCGCTTTTTTTTAAATAACCCTTTAATTACTTATTTAAAATAAGAGCTTTATAGTTTAAATTACTTATATTACATTTAACTTTAATATTTTAAGAGGTTTTGTAATTTAAATTATTTTTAAAAATATAATTAATAAATTATTTAAAAGTTTGAATTTGCTCTTTAAATAAGCTATAAAGATTTGGCAAGACAAGATTATAACGCTCTGCCGCTTCACTGGTAAATTTAGCGTCACGTGACCGCGATGACACATGCGGCTGGCTAGTATTTAGAATACCAAGCTCCCGTACTTACAAGCTTCCCTCCTTAGTTTAGAATCCTCGAAATAGAGCCACTTTACCTTGCTTTCCAAGCCCAGAGACCCGGTCTCGTAATAAAGATACTAATTGAAATCCCATATTTCAATTAAGGCACTCAGAAATGCGGGGCAGGTTTTTAAGAGAAAAGGCAAAAATAGTTTCTAATTAGCTTATAAGAGATTAATATTAATTTTATATACTAATTTCCGATCTTTTAAAAAAAGAGTATATTAAAATATATAAGATAAAGAATTCCGTTTATTAAGTAAGATATAAAGTCAAGTAATAAAGAAATCGTATATAAATAAACTAATATTATTAAATAACTAAGCTATAATATAATTCTTTAGATTATATATATAATTAAATTAGTAAAATCAAAATTAATAAAAGAATTTACTAGCTAATTCCCAAATCTTTTATAAGATATATAATAATAAGGTAATATAATTAAAATAAATTAATATTTACTAATTTATATAGTAAAACGGTTAGTAGGCTACTATTTTCGGGGGTTTTAGTTACTGTTTTTAGGGGTCTACTAATTAGTTCTCGGCTAATTTCATATCCTATCTCTCGCTATTATATATCTCGATTTAGGTACTATAAACCGTATATTTAAAGAGAGTTATTATCTCTTCTTATCTCACTTATTACTTCTTCTTTCTTTCCTACTTCTTATCTGGTAGCCCCCCGACTCTTGCAGGTAGTTTATTATAATTAACTCTAACCTGAAATATAAAGGGCTAGTTCTTCTATTTATATCCTCCTTTTTTCTTATTACTTACTCCTAAACTAAAATTCTCTCTTTCCTTTCTCGATATTTCTCTCCTTAGTTCCTTGTCTTTTTTGCCTCTTTTTTGTCTCTTCTTTATATAGCTTATTTTTCTTATATATATATATCTATTCCTTAAATAAAATATAATAAAGATATACTAATACTTAATAATAAGAATATTTCTAATTCTAATATAGATAGCTTATTTAATAATAAAGCAGACTCTAGAACTAATATTAACCTAAATAGTATTCTAGCTAAAGAGAATAGTAATAATAATAATAATAATAATATTTTTAATAATAAAGTATAATATTTGTTATAGTTATTATAATATATAATACTAGTAGAAGTTAGACTAGAACTAGCTAGGTATCTAGTATTTAAGCTAGATATCTGGTATCTAAATAAGATATCTAATATCTGAATATAGTATCTATAATTACTTAATAATTATACATAACCTCGAGCTTAAGCTAGTATATAGGCTTATATATAGCTTGTAATTATTTAGATCCGAGGCTCTTTTAAGATCCTCTCCTCTCTTTAGCTTTAAATTATTAAAATAGAAATAATCTAATTATACTTTCTAGGCCCTAGCTTTTATATTTATAATATAATTCAAAGCTTACTTATTTCTTAATTCTATAGAAAATTTAAATAATATTTATCTAATCGGTTTTTAATAAATATAGATATAATATACTATAGCTACTTCTATACTAGTTAACTAATATTAGAATAAAAGAAAGCCCTAGAATAACTAGGCAAGAAAGCCCTAGACCGGCTAGGCAAGCAGATAAGCCAGTAATTTTACTACTAAATAAAAATCTATAAGAAAGCAAGTCTTAAAATAACTAGGCAAGTTAGAAGAAGTTATAATATAAGATATTACTAGTATATTACTAGAAAATAAACCAGAGCCTCTTATTAAGTCTTTTAAGGAATCCGAATATTCTATTAATACTTATAGTAGAAAAGATACTATAGTATAATAGGCCGTATTTATTAAAAATCATATTATTTTAGTAGTTTTAAGGTTTAGGTTATATAATAAAGGCTATAGCCTTTTATATATAACTTATAGAAATTATATAAGAAAGCTAGTTTTTTTATAGTCTTAGAGAATAATCCCTTATAAGTATTTAATTAATTGAGCTTTTATATACTATATACTATTTATACTTTACTATTTATACTTTTAATTTATTATTTTACTATTAAGTTACGTTTTGTATTCTGGTATACTTTATATGAGTTTTTGTCTTATTATAGTTTCCCTCCTATAATACTTTCTTTTAAAGAGCCAAGAAAGAAAAGGGATCTGCCTTATTAAAGGCAGACTTCTAAAAGTTATTCCGGAACCCAGAAGCTTTATATAAGGAGATTATTAAGCTAATTCTAAAGATATATAATATTCTTATCTATAGTAAGAATTATTATAATTAGCTAAAAGAAACCAAATAAGCCCTATAAAAGAATAAAGCTATTATTAAAAAGCTTATTATATAGCCTATAGAAATAACTAGTTCCTCTATTCTAAAAAGTAGATATATAGTTAAATTTTCTAACTTTTCTATCTTTAAAAATATAACTAAAAATAGTATTACCTTTAATAATTAGTTAGTTTAGATTAAAAACAAGCTCTATAATAACTCTAATATTTACTAAATAGAAAACTTTAAGATTATTTATATTTCCGGCTATATAGATAATTATATTCTTATACTAATCTTTCTTTACCTGAACTAGAATAGTTAATATATATATATAAGATTATTAGAAAACTATATACTTATCTAGAAAAACTATATAATAACCCAAATAAGAAGTATAATATTAGGTAAGCCTTTAAGAAGCTATTTATAAAAAAAAGCTAGACTTTTCAGGAATTCTATATCCTATTTCTAAGATATATAGTAAATAAAAATATTAACCTATAAGACCTTAAGAATAACCTAAATAATAAGCTTACTTAGAAGCTCTAAAAGGCTATAGCTATATATTATAATAACTCGGCTATTTATATTATAGAATTCATATAATACTATACTATAAATAATTAGTAAATTCGAGCTTATTATAAAAAAAAAGACCAGATATCCAAGAAAGCTAATAAAAATATAAATAAGCCAAGCTCAAAAAATGCTTCTTATATAAAGCCTATTCCTAAAACTCTAGTAATAGATAAGCCTACTATTCCGAAGCCCGGATCCTTAGATCTCAAATACTATAACTATAATAGATTTAGTTATATATCCAGAAATTGTCTAGAGCCCAAGACCGAATATATAAAGCAAGTCTTAGTAGCTAAACTAGTAGTACTTACTATAAGTAAACTATCCGAAAGTATAAAATAGGGAAATAAAAACTCTTAAAAGAAGTTTTCTTTTTAGGGCTATATTATATAGATATAATAGAGGTTAATTTGAGCTAGCTACTAGAAGGTAAAGCATTTATACTCTCTTATATAGTTAGTAATAATAGACTAGATATTAAAACTTTTTCTTTTATTAATACCGGAATAAATAAATATACTTTTATTAATTTCAAGTTTATAAGAATAATTAAATAATTTCTAGATATTAAGTCTATTTAATTAATATTACCCTATAATATAAAAAGATTTAATAGTAAATAGGCTATATCTATTATTTACTATATTAAGCTTACATTCTTAATTAATAAATAAAAGATTCTAGTATTTATACTAGTTATAAAGCTAGGTAAATATAATATAATTTTAAAATAATAATAGTTTATAAATATTAGTATTTTAATTAATTATAAGAATAAAAGATTAATCTGGCTAGATAATTAATCTAGAAAAAAGAGTTAGAATAAGGTTTTAACTACTATATATAAGAACTTAAAACCTGGAAAAAGTAACTAGTATTAAGAAAATATAAATAAAAGAAATAAAGCTATAGCTATAAATAAGTTCTAGAGACCTTAGCTTATAAAGAGGAAACTCCTTTATTCTTTCCTAAACCGGGCTCAGAAAGTCATATATAATAAAAGAATTAAGCTTAATACTATAGAGAAATACAAATAGCTTTAGGAAATATAGAAGTTTTTCCTAAGCTAGAAATAGAAATATTAAAGCTATTTTATCTAAAGAAAAGCTATAAGATCTAGTTAAG